TGTCCAGGTGGGTTTGGAACATCTCCAGAGAAGGAGACTCCACACCCTCTCTGGACAGCCTGTCCCAGGGCTCCAACACCCTCACAGTAAATAAATTTTTCCTTAAGTTTGTCTGGAACTTCTGGTGTCCCAGTTTGTGCCCATTGCCCCTTGTCCTGTCACCACCCACCTCCAAAAAGAGCCCGGCCCCATCCATTTGGCCCCCACATTTCAGATCATTATAGACATTGATCAGATCCCCTCTCAGGCTGCTCTTCTCCAGGCTGAACAGTCCCAGCTCCCTCAGCCTCTCCTCCTAAGGCAGATGCTCCAGCCCCTCATCATCTCTGTGGCCTCCACTGGACTCTCTCCAGAAGATCCTTGTCCCTCTGGAACTGGGGAGCCCAGAACTGGACACAACACTCCAGCTGTGGCCTCACCAGGGCAGAGTAGAGGGGGAGGAGAACCTCCCTGGACCTGCTGGCCACACTCTTTTTAACACACCCAAAGCTCACTCACCTTTCTGTCATTGCATGCACGGGCTGTTGAGAATAAAACCCACCAGCTGTCACCAAACACAATGTTTTGCTTTTAACTGTTGCTGCAAACCCATCAAATTTAACACCCATCACACTTTTTTCACAGCCTCTTCTCCTGTACCTCCGTGCTGGATTCCATGCTCTTCAAGCCCTTCCCACTATGTGACAGGAACGTCCAGAACATTCTGCGGGATGAGATTGTTAATCCGCTCCGAAAGTGAGTACAGTGTCTGGGAATCCTGGAAGTCATCTGTCTGCCTTCATACCTCCTCTGCTGCCCTGCCTGATGGTACCTATCACTGAGGGAAAGGGTTACCTGGAGAGTTTCTCCTGCCAGCCACATCCAGAGGTCTTCATATTGGGTTCCTCTTCCAGTTGTTCCTTTCCCCGAGTTGCAAAGCTGTCACAACTCCTACTGCATGTGCATGAATATCTCCTGCTCAGAAGGAAGCAGCTGCAATTCTCAGTGAAGGGAAGAAAGGGGGATTCCTGGGGTTCTGATCATCTCTGGAGGGAACCCTGGAGTTGATGAAGCAGTGGTATTGCCTTCAGCAGCAGTTAGTCTGAAAGTGTCAGGCTGGATGAGGGTAGATCATGGCATGAGAGTTAAATTCTCTAGAAATTCAAAGATACAGTTTCTTTCCTCAGAGAGAGGAAAGGTTCTTTCCTCTTTCCACCTAGAGAGGTGTGGAAGAGAGGCATGGAGAGCTGATTGAACATAAAGACATTAGAATCTTCCTTGAGGCCCAGTGACTTGGCACTGGCTGCAGAAATACAACCCTGGGGTGTTCTGTGATGCTGAGATTTGATGGAGAACAGCCTGGCTGAGAAGGACTTGGGGATGAAAAATTGGACATGAGTTGGCAACGTGCACTCACAGCCCAGAAAGCCAATTATTTCCTGAGCTGTATCCAAAGCAGCGTGAGCAGCAGATTGAGGGAGATGATTCTGCCCCTCTACTCTGCTCTGGTGAGACCCCACTTGCAGTGCTGTGTCCAGTTCTGGGTTCCTCAGCACAGGAAAGACGTGGATCTGTTGGAGCAGGTCCAGAGGAAGCTACAAAAATGGTCCAAGGGATGGAGCAGCTCTGCTGTGGAGAAAGGATGAGGGAGTTGGGGTTGTTCAGCCTGGAGAAGAGAAGGCTCCAGGGAGACCTTCTGGTGGCCCTTTAATACAGAAAGAGGATTTCTAAGAATGATGAAGAGAGAATTTTTACCAGGGCCTGTAGTGACAGGAGAAGGAGCAACAGTTTTCAACTGAAAGGTTAGATTTAGGTTGGACATGAAGAAATTGGTTAAGATGAAGGTGGTGGACCAGGTTTCCCAGAGAAGTTGTGGGTGCCCCATCCTTGGAAGTGTTCAAAGTCAGGTTGGATGAAGCTTTGAGCAACCTGCTCTGTGGGGAGATGTTCCAAGGGGGTTGGACTAGATAATCTTCAAAAAAAAAAATCCCTTCCAACCCAAACTAATCAATAATTCTTTGATTTAAATAAATGGAGAGATCATCTGCAGCTGCTTCTTGTTTCTAGGACTGGCTTCGTCAGGGCTAGGAGTGTCATGCACCTTAGGGAGCAACTAACTGAAAAGGGCCAGTGTTCAAGCTTTACCAACGCTGAGAAAGGTAACGTGCTCTCTTGTGGGGGGTGGGGGACACACACACACACACACACACCTTCCCTGGGCTGCTTTGTTGTGCCACCACCTCATCCAGGCAACCAGGCTGACAACTTAATTGTCTGCTTCTCCCAGGCACGTGCATTAATCTGCCTGCTCTGCTGTTGGTTTGTGTAAAAATACACATGTCAAATACTTCTTAAAAAATTCTACAGGCTTGTCAAATGAAATCTGTCCTCGAGTTTAATGAGAATTGTTGGGTCTCTGCCTGGTGGCAGCTGTTGCCAGGAGTGGAGAGGAAAATCTGTGTGAATAGAATTTAAACAAGGGAGAAATTTCCTTGACCTTTTTATTTTGTATTATACTCTGAATAATTTCTACTTTGTATTATACTCCATCTCTGATATCCCTGCTTGAATCCAGCTTGATTGTGCTGAAGGACATGGTTTAGAGGTGGATTTGGTAGTGTTTATGGTTGGACTCAATGATCTTAAAGGTTTTTTCCAACCAAAATGATTTATCAGTTTGCCAAGATCAACTTGGGTTGGAATTCTGATAAGTTATTTGATGTTCCTCAAAGACTGTAATCTGGTTAAAATAAGACAGAAAACACCCAGAGCTGAAACCCACCAATCTCTGGTGGCAACCAGCACGTTCCCATCCGTGCACAGCACGGCTTCATGGGGTTTACAACGAGGAGACAGATGACACCAATGCCAAACGTCACTGCAACAACCTCTGAGTATCTGGAGAGTAAACATGTGGCATTGAGTCTTCTAGAAACAGCAGATATCTTGTCAGCAAACAGCACTTGTGTTTTGTACTGGTTTATTTTTATTTTAGCTGAGGATGGTTTATTAAGTGTTCAGTTTCTGGAATTTCCAGGTTCACAAAATGTTGGTTGATGTTTATGTGGCAGATTTTTATCTTCTGGATGCAGTGGGTGTGGTGTGACCCATGTTTTTCTTTGACCTTCCAGATCCTGAGGAGTTCCTCAATCTCATCATGCATCAGATCCTGGGAATAGAACCACTCTTGAAATTGCAGTAAGTTTCTGTACCTAAGCAAAACAATTTACCCAGGCCAGGCTCATTAATTACCCCCTCCTCAAGCTCACCGGGTGTTACTTGAACCTTCTCATCGAGGCTTTGGGAGCACAGCTCAGTGAGTTGTGTACAGCTCCTCTCTGCTCTTACTTGTTGTGATCATGGCCCAGGTGATGCATCCAGGAAAAGACACTTCTAAGCTCTCCTTGGAGGTGCCACCTTAGGAAAATGATGATAAAAATCTTGTCTCATGCTTAGGAAGAGCCAGCAGTGGTTTTAAGAAACATAGTGTCCAACTTCAGTTCAGAGCCAACAGTATTGAGTTCAGTACTGTGAACTGAATTGAGTATTGGAGTCTTGTATTCAGTGTTGGGCCCCTGAGTCCAAGAAGGACATGGAGGTGCTGGAGCGTGTCCAGAGAAGGGCAACGGAGCTGGGGAAGGGTCTGGAGCACAAGTGTGCTGAGTTCCCTTGTGGCTGAGGGAACTGGGGGTGTTGAGCCTGGAGAAAAGGAGGCTGAGGGGAGACCTTGTGTCTCTGTGCAAGTCCCTTGGAGGAGGGTGGAGAGAGGTGGGGGTGGGTCTGTTCAACCAAGGCCCAAGGGACAGGACAAGAGGAAATGGGCTCCAGTTGTGGCCAGGGCAGTTGAGATGGGATGTGAGGAAGAATTTCTTTGCTGAAAGGGTTCTGAGGCATTGGAAGGGGTTGCCCAGGGCAGTGGTGGAGTCCCCATCCCTGGAGGGATTGAAGAGTCGTGTAGACATAGTGCTGAGGGACATGGGTTAGTTGGGGACTTGTCAGTGTTGGGTTCATGATGGGACTTGATGATCTTAAAGGTCTTTTCCAATCTGGGCAATTCTGGTATTCTGTATCTCATGACCTTTGGATGTGTTTGGGATGTATCCAGACTGTCAAGCTGGCTCAGATCCTGCAGCCTCTCAAACAAGCAGTCCATGGATGCAGTCCCAGTTTTTCAGGACTCTACAAAGAAGATGAGAGGTTGAAGGAAGCCAAAAATAACTGTGCTGTTGAGGAGCATAGAAGGGGATTGTTCGGTTTCTGTGCTCCTTTGTTGAGATGTCAGTCAAGCTGTAGATCGTGGAGTACTCGGAAAGGCTGAGCACAAAGACAACTCTGTCCTGCAGCTCCCCTGCAGAGACTCATCTGAAGGAAATCCTTTCCCTGCTGGCTCAGGAATGTCGGGGTTGTGGGAGATCTTCTGCACACAACTCACCTTTTGAATGCACTGAGTTTTGCTCTCTGGCTTTTGGACGTGCAGTTCTAAATAGATCTTTCATCTGAGAAGGAGATTGCTGATTGTGCCATAGTGCAGTTGGTGAAAAAGGATATAGACCTACTGGAGCCAGTGCAGAGGAGGCCACCAGGATGATGCGAGGGCTGGAGCAGCTCTGCTGTGAGGACAGGCTGAGAGAGTTGGGGCTGTTGAGCCTGGAGAAGAGAAGGCTCCGGGGAGATCTTCTAGCAGCCTCCCAGTACCTGAAGGGGCTCCAGGAAGGCTGGGGAGGGACTTTGGCCAAGGGCAGGGAGTGACAGAACAAGGGGTGATGGCTTGAAAGTGTCAGAGGGGAGATGGAGGTGAGATGTGAGGAAGAAATTGTTTGGTGTGAGGGTGGTGAGCCAGTGTCCCAGGTTGGCCAGAGAAGCTGTGGGTGTTCCTCCCTGGAAGTGTTTGTGGCCAGGTTGGATGAGGCTTTGAGCAACCTGGTCTAGTGGAAGGTGTCCCTGCTGCTGGCAGGGGGGTTGGGACTGGATGATCTTTAAGGTCCCTTCCCCATTCTGTGGTTCTGTGAAAGAATTATTGACGTGACTTTTAATATTTCCACTGATGAGGGGAAGCCGAGTTTTGCTGACAGGAGCAGGATGTGATGCTCTGGAGGGATAATGAGACTGAAGATGATACTTTTATCCTCTTCTCATGACACCTATTTCACATTTCTGGGTGGAAAAAGTGCTTCTTGACCATGTTGCACCAAGCCTTGGTGCCTTGGGCCCAGAAGTTCTTGCAGGACAAAACAAATATGACAAAACTGGGAGCTCAGATATTTGTGGCACCACATAAACAATCCCCATGACCACTCCTTGCAGGTCAGGAGACCGGGAGCAGGACTGTTACTGTTACCAGATATTTATGGACAAACAGGAGGATCTGGTGGTTCCTGATGTGCAGCAGTTAGTGGAACATTCCTTCCTGTCCTCTGATCTGAAGCTAGTGGAGGTGAGCCCAGCTACCTTCCGCCTCCGCTGCTATCTGCTGCCTCTTTCTTCCTTCCTCCAACATCTCCGTGCCTGCTGGTGAGTCTGTGGTGGGTCTTGTTTGTCTTTTATCTCACACTACAAAGCAGTAGGATGCAGCCACAAGAGAGAGGTCTTGTGGAGCATGACCTGGGTAGAGGGTTGTGCTTTCCCTGTTGCCATTTTGTCTTGTGAAGAATCAAACCAGAAAGTCTTGATTCCCAGGAGCAATATGGAGAGAAGAATCTCTGGGGTTTGACTCATCTTGGCAGGATGACTCGTTTCTCTTTCTTCTTCCAGATCCCATCTTGCTTCATTATCCAAATGCCACGTTTTGGGAAGGATTATAAAATGTTCAGTAAAATCATTCCTTCCTTGGAGCTGGATATAACAGATCTGCTGCTTGACAGTAAGTTGTTGGGCAGTGGTAAAGCTGCTGGATGGGACTGTGAGCAACTGGGTCACAGGTCTCACATCTTTGGGTTGTGAGCAGATGTAAGGTGGGACCATGGTGTGATTCTTCTTCAGGCTCTGCAGAGGGATTTGGACAAGCTGGATCCATGGGCCAGGACCAATTGAATGAGAAAGCCAAAGGCATCCTGGCCTGGATCAGGGATAGTGTGG